CCCCAAAACCCCAAAACCCCAAAACCCCAAAACCCCAAATCCTAAATTAAATCAATATTGAGGATTAACAGTAATATTCTGTTTAAAAATAAACTAATTAATTCATGTGATTCCAAAGTCACATTAGTTGTTTTTCTAAAGCTTGAGGATCCTCTCCTTCAGCTCTCTCAGGAATAAAGTTAACTACCATATTCCAGTAGTGCTCGCAACCCTTCTCAGTGAGTAGTCTTTTGGCTTCACTCTCACTTCTGATATCCACAATTCTCCATCTTTCAAAATTCTTTTTCTTCACAACTCCTTCCCATACTAAAAAGCATTTCTTATCCAATGATTCCTTTACATTGTCTAAATCCTCTTCGCCATTTTAATCATTCTTCTCTTCCTCTTCCATTTTCTGATCCCCATCATAGTCAGGATCTTCATTGTTGTTATGATTTTGTTTTTTCTTAGATTTTTCATTCCACTTGATTCTTCTCAGCATTAGTCTCTTATACTTTTTAATTGCTCGAGGTCCTCCTTCAATAAGAACCAGATTAGGGAGATCTGCAGGAGCCATATTGTAGTCAGCAATAAAGCAAAATCCACCCAAATGATATTATTGAGCATTCATATCAATCTTAAACTTCAAGTGTGGTTATGTGAGTTTGTCAATCTTAAATAATGCAACTCTGCATTCATTGTTGTTTATATCTCTCTCATGCTTTCTCTTCATTTTAGCTTCTTTTTAGTCTCTTGTCAGTTTATTTGACTCATTTCTCTTCAGATGCTACTCTAGTCTAGCATCAACTATTCTCTTAACTTGCTGTTCTACTCTAGATGGATCAGCGATTGCTTCTTTACCAAGAACTTTCATGTAATTGCTCAACTTAATCTTTGGTAGAGGAGCTGGCATTAATCCCAATTTAACCTTTTCTTATTTATCCTTTTCTTTTTCAATTCTTTTCATTTTTCTGAGTCTCTTCTTCTCTTTATCAGTTAGATGAATTGGAATCACCATTTTATTTATATTTTCTACATAATCATTCTTTATGGGAACTGGGTGTTAAACATAGTGAGTTATTTTATCTAAGAAAATATCACTTTCCTCTACATTACCCTCAATTCTTTTCAATGTCACATTCTAATCCTAGGTTTAAGAGAAAATACCTTAATCCCACCATTCAAAATCAGGTATAGGATCTAGTGGCTTTAGATTCACTGTTTTTCTAATCTAAATTTTCCCATCTTCTTTTTTTTACTATTCCTCATTGGTTTCTCCAGTAACTCTTGGGTCTTAACTTATAGGCTCATCTTTTTTCTGCTCTACTTGATTCTTTCGGCTCTCAAACTCATCTAGCAACTACTTTTTCCTCAGTAATTCTCCTCTTTTTATAAATTAGCCTTGCTAAACAAAGTTAAATGCCCCCGTCTTCTTTCTATCTCTCTTGTTCATTTTATTTTCTATTGATGAATCAAAGAATTTTCTCTTTTAAAGTAACTCATTCGAAGTAGCTTAGCCGAACTTTTTCATGTTTAGGAGATCCTTAACTTTATTGTCCTTCTAATTTTTCTAGTTTATCTTCAATTCTGTTGATGCCTAAAATTTATATTAATCTAAAATCTTAAAGTTACTTTTAGATTGAGAATATTTCCTTTTTCATCAGTTAATCTCCCCTGATCATCTAAAAGAACTTTCTTAGGTTTTTGTTCAACTACTGACTAATTAAATGATAAGATGACCATTTAAATTACCTCTTAAATTGGGATTAAGTCTTTGGTGAGTGGTATCTTGAAACCATCTTAGGTAGTAAAGCTGCTTTTAACAACACCTGCACTACTACTGAATTAAGATTGGGGTGCTATACCAGAGCGATTAGATTAGGGTAGCCTTCCATACTCATTTCTTTGCTGACCCTTTAATATTCTGGGATCTTTAAATCTATTCATTTTTTGCTAAATATTACAATTTATTAAACTTTTTCCTAATTCAACCTCATGGGGTTTTGGGGTTTTGGGGTTTTGGGG